TGCAAAGTTAAATTACGCAGTTATCATGGTTAATTTATATGGCATATAGTATATTTTTAAAAACCGGTATGTTGGGGCTATAAATCCCTGAAGAGAGATTAGGGATTGGATTATCGGTTCAAGAGATAATCCATTTCCCCCACGGTAGATAGTTAGTACGAGGAGTGTATATTGTATCCATTCAACGGGAATAGTTTTACAATTAATTTTGATTTTGTAAACAGTTTGAAGTGCTTTGATTTGTCTGTTTTTCTCATTTGACACGAGTTTCATACGAAACGAAGTGTTTAAAGACTTGAACAGGACTGAAGGGTTTATTAACAAAACTCTTGTCTTAAGTACAGCAAAATGTAGTCAAAGACAGTATAAAGTAAAACGTGTTATAAAATCATTGGCTAAAAGTAAGTATAAAACTCCAGAACTTTATAATAAATTATTTGTTAAAACTTATGGAAAATTCTGGAAATTATAAACAATTCATCGCTGAGTACGTGATGTACAACTCATGTGCAAAGACCTTGACATAAATTTATATACCCTGTTTCAATAGCAAATGTACACATCACTAGTTGGTTTCTGGTGGCCATATCTGTGCGTCTAAGTGCTAGGTTATTTAATTTTGTAATCAAGTTAATATTGTTAACTTTATCGACTAATTTACAAACTTTTGATAAAGTTTACAAAACACACCATAAATAGGATGTCTTTGCAGTACAATTTCAGCGGTAAAGTAGTGCTGATCACGGGCTCGAGTTCGGGTATCGGTGCCGTCACTGCCGTACAGTTCTCCAGAGCCGGCGCTCATGTTGTGGTCACCGGTAGACGAGCCGATAGAGTGTCAGAAGTGGCCAAAGAGTGTCTCAAAGTATCGCCGAAACAGTGGACAGCACTGGAAGTGGTGGCGGATGTGACCAAACCGGAGGACTTGCGACGACTTGTGGACACAACTATCGCATACTTCGGGAAACTCAATGTTTTGGTGAACAATGCCGGCGCCGGTATTGTGGCTAAAATTGGCGAAAAGGATTTCTACGAGAATTATTTGAAAGTAATGCAAATAAATCTCAATTCTGTGGTCTATTTAACGCATATATGTGTCGAGCATTTGGAGAAAACTGAAGGAAATGTTGTTAACATTTCAAGTCTCGGTGCAATGAGAGCCGTTAGTATTATATAGCAAGCAACTAATAATTAATAAATAGTCTACTATTAATCTATTCACTAGTTAACTTGGTGGTCACCATATTGTATGTCTAAGGCCGCGATGGATATGTTCACGAAATCTATTGCCGCAGAGTTAGGACCCAAACGTATCCGCGTTAATGGCATCAAGTAATATATAATTTGAATGACGTTTAATCAAATCCAGTCTCATATATATATATATTCTCATCTAGGCAACTTTTCTCTGCTTTCGACTAATGAATAAAATCTTTTATCGTTTTTATAAATGAAAGCCGATTTATTAATTAGGGGACAATCGTAAAACATTGAAAACTTAGTAATGGAGTCCAAAAGCTTATTTTAAGCTTATTTTACACAAACAAAATGACTTATAATTACTAAACTGTAACGTTTTTATAGCCGCTGCTCAGTACACTTATGGGGTTTGGATATGTTATAGAGTTCATGTCCCTGATAACATACAACTAAAATTTATCGGCCAAATCCGGTTATTTGGTGTCCATTTCTGGCCGCAAAGACATCCTATTTATGGTGTGTTTTGTAAACTTTATCAAAAGTTTGTAAATTAGTCGATAAAGTTAACAATATTAACTTGATTACAAAATTAAATAACCTAGCACTTAGACGCACAGATATGGCCACCAGAAACCAACTAGTGATGTGTACATTTGCTATTGAAACAGGGTATATAAATTTATGTCAAGGTCTTTGCACATGAGTTGTACATCACGTACTCAGCGATGAATTGTTTATAATTTCCAGAATTTTCCATAAGTTTTAACAAATAATTTATTATAAAGTTCTGGAGTTTTATACTTACTTTTAGCCAATGATTTTATAACACGTTTTACTTTATACTGTCTTTGACTACATTTTGCTGTACTTAAGACAAGAGTTTTGTTAATAAACCCTTCAGTCCTGTTCAAGTCTTTAAACACTTCGTTTCGTATGAAACTCGTGTCAAATGAGAAAAACAGACAAATCAAAGCACTTCAAACTGTTTACAAAATCAAAATTAATTGTAAAACTATTCCCGTTGAATGGATACAATATACACTCCTCGTACTAACTATCTACCGTGGGGGAAATGGATTATCTCTTGAACCGATAATCCAATCCCTAATCTCTCTTCAGGGATTTATAGCCCCAACATACCGGTTTTAAAAATATACTATATGCCATATAAATTAACCATGATAACTGCGTAATTTAACTTTGCAAAAATAGTTCCAATTTTTTCATTTCTCATAGAAAATACATTAGAAAGTAAATGAAAAAAATGTTATATAAAATATTTTGAAATTAAATTCTCTAACTCTTTAAGTGCTCTCTCTCTCACTCACTTTATAAGTGCTCTCTCTCTCACTCATTATAAGTGCTCTCTCTCTCACTCATTATAAGTGCT